ACATTTTGTCAGCGAACCCAGTGTGCACAATAACAAGGAACTATCCTTCTGACTTTATTAAAATAAAACTCTTAAATAAATCCAAATTAAATAGAAGTAAAAAAAAAAAAAAAGTACGATGGGTGCGAGAGAAATCCAAGGTGATTTAAAAGATTGTTTTTTACACAAGCCGAGTCCGGTTGTAACTTACTTATCTCCAACTCGACTGTTTTTCTGCTGTTCACCCACCAAATGGGAATGTCTATCACCTTGTCGACTGCATCGACATTTGATTTTTGTTCGCCCCATGCAATCGAATCACTTTCGCTCACTCTCACTCCGCCGAAAAGAGTGTCCTGTGCCGGGGGAAATGCTCGTAATAAAGGAAAAACATTAAACCGAGATTATGCAAATCAAAGGCGGCCTTGCGGGCGAACAGTGGCAAGTGCATGCGGTGGAGAGCCACCCCCCCACCACCCCCTTTGGGAAACAACAACCACATTGACTTGCCCCCTCATGCATATGGATGCGTGCTCGTCGTATTTGTTTATGCGCCCGCCATCTTGTTTGATCAAACACGAGCGCAAACACATCTGTATATTTATGAGTTGTGTGGCCCGCCTACACTCCCACTCTCGCCACCCACTTTCACCACCCACTTTCACCGCCCACTTTCACCACCCGCCCGCAGCTTGGATTAACCGCATATCTGCCAGTGTAACGGCACTGTGAGCGAACTAAAAACCAACAAAATAAAAATGGGGAACTCCACTGCGATACTTTTTATGCAGAGCTGGCACAATATCGATAGCATCTATTGGATTTTCGCCTCTCACGTCGATTAATGCCATTATGGACTTTGACCAATATGGAGCACGATTTAAAGGACACACATGAATTCATCAACGAAATAAAACCGCGAATTCTTCAGCACAAAAAAATTGTTTGGCTAGCTTTAATTATGCAGAGCTCAAAATAAGTTCATTAGCAAACTAAGACCGCAAAGACATTTAAGACAATCGTCTTTATATTTGTTGATTTTATCGAATTCTTAAACAAGTGCGATTTCTTTAAAACAAAAAGATTAAAAAGCACTTCTTAAGATCATTATGATTGAACCAGGAATATCGGGACAAATATAAATGTTAAATACTATTGTCGATACCCAGTATATATGAATACATATTTTCTGAACAGGGTGTTTTCAAACGGCTTTAAAGTTTGCTTGTCCAATTTCCTTTATACTCTAATATGCTTATGGTTTTTTTTTTTAAATATGAAACCCCATAACTGAGATTTTTGAGCAAAGTCTTGCCGTCCAAAAATGTGATCCATTATTTAGTGGCAAAACCAAGGTTCCGCAGGTTATGAATTAAGACCTCTTGTGTTTTATATAAATTTATTTTTGGGCATGCATTTTCCCACAGCAGAAGACCTTCATGAACATGCAGATTTTTCCATATATGCAAAGGTGTATAAATATGCATTCCATTCGGTGTGTGTGTGTGTGTGTGTGCGTGTGTGTGAGTGTGCGACAACCAATTCGATTTCCATTTTTGCACAAAATTTATGCGCAAGTGCAATGCAATTTTATTGAATTTGATTAGAAACGCATCAAAGCTGCTGCTTCTGTGGCTGCTGCCTGAATGCTTCAATGCCACCATTTGCACACCAGTCGAAGGTCGTTCATTACGGAACCGATGAGCCAGGGGTCCGGGAACTCGACCTGACTTTGAATATGCATTGGGGTTAAGTTTAGCCATGTCGGTGAAGTGGAGTTACTTTCACAGCTGGAATTTATTAATCCAAGGTATCACAACTTGTACCATTATTTATTCTACTAAGCTCGGCTCTATATGTTGTTGTTTTAAATATTGAAACTTTAATTAAACTTAAAGTTAAGCTAGTTTGGTTGATAGTTTCATATTTTGACTAACTTATTATTATTAGCAAAATCTTAATCATTCTATTTTTAATTCCAATAAATCTTAGTAACATTTTTTTTAAGTATTAAATTTGAATACTTGTTTATAGCTTTTACTATACTCCCTTTTTAATAGGGGTAGGTCATCAATTTGATTGCTTGAAAAGTGGAGCTACTTTCACAGCTGGAATTTATTAATCCAAGGTATCACAACTTGTACCATTATTTATTCTACTAAGCTGTGCTCTATATGTTGTTGTTTTAAATATTGAAACTTTTATCAAACATAAAGTTAAGCTAGTTTGGTTGATAGTTTCATATTTTGACTTACATATTCCTATTAGCAAAATCTTATTCATTCTATTTTTAATTCCAATAAATCTTAGTAACATTTTTTTAAAGTATTAAATTTGAATACTTTTTTATAGCTTTGACTATACTCCCTTTTTAATAGGGGTAGGTCATCAATTTGATTGCTTGAAAAAGTAGATGCTGGTGGCCTTATTCTTTCATGTGGCTTCATGAAATCGACCGACAAAGTGTGATAACATCCAGTTGATACTCTGCTCCTTTGCTCGCATCCTAATTGCTGCGCCAACTCATTGTCCAGATATTGGTTTTCACATTCGCTAGTACCGGCGAACTATACTACTATACTACAATGCTGCCGCAGGCTGCTGCAACGAACTTATCTGCAATTTGCCACATTCCCACGGGAGTTTTCCACACCGCCTTCGCCCCCTCTGACCACGCCCCCTTTTCCGGTCCGTTCGGACGGTGCTTATGCAAAGCATATTGTTGCTCATTATCTTCACAAGGATTAACATGTTATCCTTAGCACGCGCGGCCGCTTCCCATTACGCTTGGTCCTTGCATCTCCACTTGCTCTTTTCGCTTTTCGTCCTATTTTCCCGCTTCCTCCCTAGTTTTTCAGTACCCCCCCGCACCGCCGCCTTCACTGGATTTTCCCCCCACTTTCTCAGCACTTTTTTGTGCTGTCTTTCGGCTTGCATTGTTTCTGCAGCGTTGTTCCTGTTGATTTTTGCATGTCGCTGGCTTTGGTTTTTTTGCCGGGTTTTCCCTGGACTTTTCCTGGTTATTCCTGTTTTCCCTGAGTTTTTTTTAGGTTTTTCGCAAATTCTTTTTTTTTTCCTTCTCTCTCTGTGCGCTAAGTAGAAGCCTCTTCTGGCAGCTTTTGGGCACCTTGCGAGCATCAAATGCGTAAGAAGAATTATTACCGCATTTTCCCTTTTTCGCCTTGCGCTCCGACGGATTTGCACGTTGCCTTTGGCTTGCTTAACCATCCGGTTATGTCGCGCACCTTCTCCCGTCGTGGTCCGTGGATGCCACGGGATCTGGAGTTTGATACCGGGATTGTCGTGGTCCTCCGGCTGGCGTATTGCTTACAAATTGTGCGTCGCCTCGCCAGCGGCAATATTTTCTGATGCAATTTCTGCCTTTGATGTCGCTCATACGCCGTGTTGCACGTGGCCCTCGAGGATATGCTTCCTTCTGCTCTGTTTTAGCAGGCACACCAACATCTGGTTGGCATGATAATAACATTCATTTTCGCTTCTGCCACTACATTCCGAAAATGGTTACCGTATGAAGGCCTTTTAATCATATTGAGTAACTCAGGAGAAAGCTATTTCAAAGTTACCATCTTAAGCTAAAGATTCTAATAACTAATATGATGAATAATTCATATATGAGAGTAAGAAATTAATGATTCCATCTGTAATATATTTTTAAAGCTTCTATCTAAAAAACCCAAGCCTTAAAAACTTTTATCAATTCGAAACGTTAAACATTAAACTTAAACATTTATGTTTATTGTGCATGTGTTGTATGAAAGCAATTAAGCTTGAATTTGTATACTTTAAAATTATCAAAAATGAGCATACTTAATTTAAACAATTAACTAAAAATCCTGTATTGTATTTTCCGGTCTTTAAAGACCTCTTTAGAAATACAATGAGAGCGTATACATTTGTCGAACAACGCGACGCACCTTTTTCAGACGGTTTTAATTCTTTTTTCTACGAGCTAAGCGGCCCTTGGCTTTTGGCTTAACGTGTTTACCTTTGCCATCCGATACCCGCCATCTCTCATACACCGGCTTTGTTTGACTTGAACTCTGCGCTCTTCTTGTTTTGTTTTTGCGAATTTTTTCTTGACAAAGAACGCCGCTCCTGATACAATTGCGGAGGTAACAACAAAATAATAAAACAGAGCACACAGAGAGTAGAACAAAAAGGAGGAAAATAACACAAAGCGTTGGGATTGATTGAATTCCGAATTTTTAAGCATTTCGCCGCAGTCCAAAATTTTGTTAGTCAAACTGCAGGAGCGAGTGCACGGAACCGAAAACTGCTACAAAAAACAAAAAAATAAACCAAGAAAACGGGAACGTTATAAATATTTCAGAAACTTTTTTTTCAAGTACAATCAAATTCAACTTTAAGGCGAGCTTATCCTCAGGCTAATTGAAACATCAAAAAAATGTACAAAAATTTTATTTAAATTTTGCAAACACCTTTTTTGTTGTTGGATATTATAAAGAAAATTATGTATAGAGTTTTAAGACAAGAGCTAAGATTTTGCAAGACAAAAGGTGTGGGTGCCAGTAATTTAAAAAATGTATTTTAATATGGGAAATACGCATTATATTCAGATTACTAGAGACTTAATCTACAAACTTTGAAAGGATACCCCTTGGAAATTTGGTTTGGTTTATTATTTTGTCCACTGTATAAATGTTAGGCAAATAATTAAGCAAATGAAGTGCATCCTGATTATGTTGTAGTGAGTCAAGAAGGCTAGCGATATATTAATTACAACTTGCACAGCACGTAACAATTTCAATAAGATGGAAATTAAACTATTACCCATTAAATATCTTCTCCCCTGTGGGCTATTAAATTCCCGCGATTGACCCCAAAAATCTGTTTGTAGAAATATGGAATCAGAAACTTAAAGTTGGGCACCCATTGAAAATGAGTCACCTTCGATAGGTCCTTATTGACAGGAAATGGGCGGAAAGTTTGCCAAGCGTATGTTAACGCATCACATTTTCGTGTTCTTCCTTTCTTTTCAGTGTCCAAGCCAGAGAGTCCGAGGTAATTGAATAAACGATCCACAATCACGAGTCAATGTGTGTAGGTGAGTACGCCACTCGAACTACGCCCCTTTTCACTGCTGTTGACCAAGTCAAAGATGCCCAGACGCACTATCAGTTTTCACCGACAAGAAGAAACCAAAGAACACTTAAAGAAATAGTGAAACAATTCATTAAAAGTTTTGAGAGGCTTATTGAAATAATACTTCTAAGTAAAAGCTGTTCATAAAACAAATACTATTTTCAAGTGGTTTCTTGATACAGATTGCTTGGATTATAAAAAGCTAGAAATATTTATAAAAATGTATTTTCGGTTGTTGCAATTATTTTAAATTTCAAGTGGTTGATTGCAATGATAATTTTAAATAAAAACTCTTTAGTAAACTAATACAATTACTAAGTAGTTTTTCTTGCAGTCCTTTTCTGAAAGAGAGTTCTTTTTGAATAATAATAATAATGTTAGTCCAAGGAAATTCAATCTTTTAGTGCATCCGCAAATTCAGAATGAATGTTGGACAAGACAGGCGAGAAATAGAAGAAAGTGCCATAAAAAAGAAACAAAAGGCCAAGGAAAAGAAAAAGAAAAGGAAAAAGAAGATGGAAAATAAAGAGTGTGAAGAGGACTTGTGCATATTGAATTAAGCGACAAGTGCAAGCAAGTTTGAGGCTTTTTAAACTGTTTATGTATGTGTGCGAGTGTCCTGGCAGGAGTGCGGCTGTGTGGGTGAGTAAGTGAGTAAGTGAGTGTATGAGGGCCATTATTTTGTTATAACAATGGCGAAAGTTTCGAGCAATGGCCACAAGCCGAAGCTCCAGTGGGAAAACCCTTAAACCACCCATTGCCTCAAGTGCACCGAACACTTAACACAATCAATACAGGCACACACACACACACACACACACACACACACACACGCATGCTGGGAAAATGAGAGAGGAAAATGAGTTAATGGAAATTCTTAGCAAGTATTGTGATTTGACAGCTGCGTGTAAACTTGCGAACAAAAGAGGACTACACGGAAATTAAATGTGCAGTATATTATTATGTTCATACGCCTGCTACTTGCAATTTAGTAACTTGATGTTTTTATTACGTTACATATACATTTCGTAATATCAGAAACTATTTGCTTATATTCATATATATATTTTTTAAATTAGTGACCATTTTTTATTTTTTTAAATCCTGCATTGATTTAAATTTGTGCAATAACTTTAATTTTGAATATTCATTAAACAAGGCGGTGTTGCTTTTTTTTTGTATACTTTTTATTGCAAACTTGCTATTAAAATAGTTTCTGTTTATGCATTTCACACGTAAATTTCCATTTAAAATGGGGGTCTAGTTTTTTAGTCTGTATTCTGAGGATGATGATGGCGCTGATGATGGTGAAAATGGAGTCGGAAAAAGGGGTGCGAAAGCTGTTAAAGCATCAACTAACTGCACAAAGACCGGCCAAAAACTGACAGTTTAAAGGAGCTGGTCTCCTTTTGCAATTGAATCTCGTCAAGGAAAACCCCTTGGAGAGTTTTCCTTTTGTGCTGAGACGGGAAAACTTCAGCTCAACTTGAAAAAGAGCAAGTTCGAGAGTGTGAGTGCTCCATTTCCCCTTGGAAAATTCGGGGATCCCCAGGCGTCCTGGCGATTCGGGCGTTTGTTTGTCTAATAAAAGCGCTCCCAATACACAAACGCATCATTATCCATTTTCGATTTGTGCGTGCACAACCCATGGCTCCAGCATAATTTTCATTCATCGATTCATTCATTCACTACACACCATTCCATTTAAGCCCGGTTTTTGCTGGTTTCCTTTTTCGGACATTGTTCTACAAATTGATGTTGGCCAAGAACATTGGAAAAAGTTAATAGGGGCAGTCAATGGGGCTCATATGCCCCAGAAAGTTGCGGCTTGGAAAATGTAATTGGAGCTCGGTTATCACACTTTCATTTCATAAAGCAAAGCGCTTTTTTCCAAATTATTTCCATTATAAAAGTGTAAATTAATCGCATTTAATTATTGATTTATAAAATGTAAAGCTTATGAATAACTAGACTTATTTAATTTATCACTTTTTTAAAATGTTTTGACAGATATTTTTTTTTAATTACCATTTTTTATTTGAAGTCTTTAAAAATTAATTATTTCTTTAAGATTGTAAGCAATTATGGTCTACAGCTTTTTTATCACTGAATGAACCATCTGTTTATGAATTCACCCAATTTTTAAGCACCAAAATCTGAGTAACCCTGTTGATTGATAAAGCCGAAAATACTCACCAACTTTTCGTGTTACATCTTTTTTTTTGTGGTTTATTACCCTGCACTCGGCTGATTGATGCATTAAGCCATGTCGGTGCCTTTGGTGGACTGTCCATCTCCCGAATCCACAGCCATCCCCCAGGACATCCCATCTCGAGCCAGTCCATCCCCAATATCCCCGCCTGTCTCCATAGGCTTTTGGCCTTTGATTAATGGTTCGACGACGATGGTCGGCCAAGCCATGTGCCATAAAAGTCAGCGGATAAATGGAATTAAACCTAGTTATGGCCAAAATGCAATGCCACTCAATTAGACGCGTGCCAAATGAATTTATCTACATTATTGGAATTATCTTGCCCATTAAAATCCAACGCTGTTCTGGGCATTTGCTTCTTAACGAGAAATTATAGCTGCATTGTTGTTCTCCTACTTATTCTTATTGTTATTTTTAGTGTAAGTGTTAGTGTTAGTGTTAGTGATATTGTTATTGGTGTTGTCCTTGTCACCAGAGGAACGAAAATAAGAAGAGGAAAATGCGCGTCTTTTATGACTTCCGTTTGGCTAAAATGCCGCAACGGGGCCATGGCTGTGGTGCAAAATAAAGTCGATGGGGGTGGTGCAACGGCAGCTTGACTCCATGCTCGAGTGCGCTTGAACCCACCGAAAAAGCACCCGGGAAACCCCTCCTCGAAACCAACCTCCCAAAGGCCACCCACAATTGTCTGCTTTTGGCCACCAAAGGCAGCTGCCATCGCATCGCCGCGTTTTGTTTGCAAAATAAAACTAACAAACAAAATTGTAATGAAAAGCACAATAAACTGTCAGTTTAAATATGAAAGACTCTGCTGTCTGTCTGACTTTCTGAGCACCTAACGCCCCCGCTGGACACGCCCCCAAACGCCCAAGACGCCCTCGGCGAAAGTCCATCAGTGGTGGGCCCACTGTAGATGTAGATTGGAGACAATAGACAAAGCAAGCAATATGGATATAGCTACAAAAATGTGTGGATTTTTGTAAAAATTACATCCCGAATTCACTAATACATACAATTATTAATTACAAATAAACTTAGAAATAAAACTGTTTTTATATAAATACATTAAATGAATGATATTCACTTTCCACAAAAAAAAAGAGTTTAGTTTTATTAAACAGCGTATTAAGTGGTTCTGGATACATTGATATTAAGATCCTCGAGCTGCCTGGCTACAAAATTGGTTGTGGAGTATCAACTAAAAATACTGAACTCAATAAAAATTTGGACTTTATTATATCATATGAATAAATATGAAGTATTTGAAAGCTTCAAGTAAGTTCAAGCGATATTTAGGTCTTAATTATGATTTTCAGCGGCATTTATTAAGCTCAAAAGGCTTAATATATGATTAATATGGAGAATTCCCGGATCTCGCCGAGAAAACGGCTAAATGGTCACCTCGAAAGACAATGCTCTTCCAGCGGAGACGTCTTCGAGGGACGAGCGAGTGAGTGACTCCGAGTCGGAATCGCAGTTGCAGTGGCAAGTCGGCGTCAAGTGGCGAGCATTGAAAGGAGCAGCTGCGTATACGTAATGCTGCCGCCCGGCGCACCACCCGGCGTATACGTAATGCCACACAAAGTCTTCGCTGTGCGCCTTTGTGCGAACTTGTCGCTACTTAGCAAATGGCTAATGGCAAACTCCCCAAACTGGGAAATCTTTTGGGGTCACTCTTGGAAAATCTTTCACCAGCAATAGAACAATGCGGGGAAAGTATTTGCTGTGAAGTGAATCCATAATGAATGCAGTCACTCGACTGAGGTGAGAGTTCCGCATGTGAGTGTGTACCCCTCGGGGTTAGCCCCCCCACACACTCAGCTTTTCTCCGGTATTCTTCAGGGTTAAGTCGGTTATGCCGCTGGCTTAACTCATATTCATGAATGTGGGCAGGTTGCGTACCGACTGAGCCCACTTCAATGGAATTAATTTGGCTTAATGAGGGGGAAATTACTATTATAATAGTCTATTTTCATGTTCTGTTTTGTAAATTAAATACCTCTAATTAAGGAAAGGATTAGAAAGTAAACATCAATAATTAAAGTTCAAATAGATAGCATTAATTAAAGAAATTCAATCAATCTTAAGAGTACTCACAGAAAATGACTCTTTAAAAAACTAAAGTAAAAATATGCATTTACGTGTTCAATTAAATTCAAAGTTATATAAGTTTAAGGTGTATACTCTTCGTACTCGAAACTTCGAAAACCAATCAATAAATAATGCAGTTGTCTCAGTCGATCCCTGTACAACTACGAATATTTTTGTACATCTCCTCCTCGTTATAAGTGCTATATGGACCAACCCATTAAATCGATTCAAGCAAAACTCATTCCACCCGCTCAAAGCCCTGCAGAGTGATGACAATTTGCGTTCATTCCGGACTCGGAAACGTTAACAATGCAGAGTTATCCTCCCATCCTGCCGCTCCTGCCATCCTGTCATCCTGCCGACCAGGACCTCCCCGACGTCTAAGCGCCATCCCAGCTGCATAGTTTGTAGTCATCAACGGGCAGCGGCGCAGTCTGTCGCAGCTCGGCCATAAAAGTAAAATAAAATGCAATATAATAACAATAACTGTAACAATAACAGTAATAACAGAGCACCAGGATGTGGGCAAAAGGCGGTGGGCGGTGGGCGGTAGGTGGTAGGTGGGCGTGGTCCCGGCGACAATGGCTGAGTCGAAATAATTAAATGGCATCAACAAACAACGGGCAACAATGGTCGCACAAAAAGAATAAAAATTGCTA